AGTCGGACACTTAGCATATTAGGCTTTTATATATAGGATATTATATATGATACTAGAGGCCCGGTGCACAAAAATTTGTGCACCCAGGGGTTCCCTCAGCCCGGCCTATGCCCTCTTGCAGTCTGGGACCTCTCAGGGGGTGTCCACCTACTGGCTTAGGCCCGCTCCCCAGGGAACCGGCCTAAGCTGGCAGTCAGACATCCCTCTGGCAGCCCAGGAGCCCTTGGGGGATGGATGTCCATTTGCCATCAGGGAGCAGGCCTAAGCTGCAGTTGGACATCCTTAGCGCTTCTGAGGAGGCAGGAAAGGCTCCCGCCACCACCGCTGTGCTGGCAGCCATCAGTCTGGCTTGTGGCTGAGCAGAGCTCCCCCTGTGGGAGTGCACTGACCACCATGGGGCAGCTCCTACATTGAGTGTCTGCTCCCTGGTGGTCAGTGTGTGTCGTAGTGACCAGTCATTCCCGGTCATTCTGCTGTTAGGGTCAATTTGCATATTACCCTTTTATTATATAGGATACGCTGTAATATCTATAATAATAAAGGCGTAATATGCTAATTAGACCAGATGTCCTTCCGGATGACCTTCGGACGAAGCTGGGAATGTGAGGGAAGCCCAGGTCCCAGGTCCCAGGTGCCAGAGGGAAGCTGGTGCCAGCAGCCAGGGGAAGTAAGGCCTACTCTTGCATAAATTTTGTGCATCAGGCCTCTAGTATATAATATATACCAGTGGTCGGCAAACTGCAGCTCGCGAGCCACATGCGGCTCTTTGGCCCCTTGAGTGTGGCTCTTTCACAAAATATTGACTTCTGCACATGGGCCACGAAGTTTCAATCGCACTGTACATGCGCGCCCGCATGTGGTATTTTGTGGCAGAGCCACACTCAAGGGGCCAAAGAGCCGCATGTGGCTCGCGAGCCGCAGTTTGCCGACCACGGATATATACCAATCATATAAAGGATAATGCATGCAATTTTCTGAATATGAACTAAGGTGAAATACTTTCCCTTAATGTAACTGAAATAAACATTGACACTGAATTTCAATACTGCCTTTTAACCCAAAGGGTTGGGCATGCTTTTGAAAAATTTCAGCTGAGTTAGCACAATGCAGAATTGATCATGAAGCCATCGTTGTCATACTGGCTTTCCTTCAAGGCCTGCTAACCAGCCCTCCCCACCCAGGCCCCCACCCCTGGCTTGGTGCCTGGCTTTCTTGGGAGGTTTCCTCTCCCACCCTGGTGGAAGCCTGACCTTGTTTTGTTGCAGTTGCCATAGGAGCAGCCCTTATTGCATGGGTGGCTCCATCACTAAAACAAATACTAGCAAAGAACTGGGAAGCAGATTTCAATACTTCAGACACCAAGGAATGAAAACAATCTGTGCTATTTAAACAGAATAAATCCCAATACTCCCAAGGGAAGTGGGTGTTTATTTTTAGGCTGTAAGCACCACCACTCAGGCTTACGGAATGACAGACTGAACGTCCTGAGCGGCGTGTACGTGTGTCCGTTGCACTGCTGGTTTAGGGGCCTGAGCTGGGCCTGGGCAGCGTGAAAAGGAAATCAGCCCCCGGGGTCACAGGCTCCTGCACCCAGTAGGCAAGGTCGCCGTGCGCACAGAAGGGCTCATAGCCGACCAACCCGCTCAGCGTCTTTTACCATCCTGGTGCCCCAGCGTAGCGCACGGGGTGCTGGTAATAAGAGGGGCTGGGCAGGCATGTGGAGCCGGAACTGTGGCGTGCGCGGATGGGGCGGGGTGTCCACGGTGATCACCGATCTGGTAGAAGACGCACGCGTTAGGACGCGGGAACTGCCGCGGTGCCCCGCGCCCGAGTGGGAAGCAGAGGGATCCAGGCGGTCGGTGGAGGGCGCGCGAGGGGAGAGCTCGCCCAGGCTGCGCAGGCGGGACGAGGGCGCACCGGGTCCGCGCCAGCTTGGGGAGAGGGAGGGCCTGGGATGGGTTCCAGGAAGGCTGTGCAAACCAGATAGCGAAGAGAACCTTTCTTGCGCCCTACCTTGTAAAACATGGCCTAGGAGCAACATAGCCCTGCTTGGATTTGAAATGCTAGTTTGTAATCGTATTATGTTATACTAGCCTTTTATTATTGCATATAAATATTTTAAAACAGCATTGTCATTAAAAGTTAATAGACTTTTTAAAGGGCAGCTTTAGTTTTACCGAAAAATTGAGTAGAAAGTACAGAGAATTCCCATGTGCCCCTTCTCCCCGCCCCACAGTTTCCCTATTAACATCTTGCTTTGGTGCAGTGCATTTGTTACAACTGACCAATCAGCACAGCTACGTTATTATTCAACTGAGCCCATAGTTTTCCTTAAGGTTGACTCTTCGTACTGTACTGTGGGGCTTTTTTTTTTTTTTATGAAAGAGGGCACAGAAGGAAAACTTGAACTACAAATTCTCCCACCCCCCCACCCCCCGGCCATGTGTTTTTATTTTTATTGATTTTAGAGAGAGAGCCATCTTGATTACTCAAATAATCACTGTATTATTAGATTATTTGGGGAAGAGATCTGCCCCCTTGGACTCCACCTTAGACTTCATGCTCCACAGAGGGCCGCCACTGACCAACAGCAAGAGCACCCTGGACCCCTGCCCACCTCAATACAAGTTCTCAATGGACTTCCTACCTTTGGCCTGGGACCCACTTCAGCCTGATGCCCTGGTGGCATATCACCTGGGGGCCCTTTTCATCTGGGGAGTTCTATGGTTTAGTGGGGCGTCTGATAAGGACCAGGCTTCCCTGGACTCAGAGCAAGATCCCGGGAGGCCCAGGGCCTGAGCACAGATGTGTCCCTGGCTGAGCTCCTCCAGGCTAAGGACAGGTGCTGCGCCCAGGAGCGGGAGGTGGAGGCATTAGAACAGCAGGCGCAGAGTAATGTAGGAGGCAGGCCGAGGTCCCTGCTCTGGAGAGCTTTTGTGGGCAGGTGCAGGGGCTCCTAGAAGCTTTTGCTGTCCAGGCAACAAGCCTAAATGGGCAGCAGTAAAGCCCTGGCAGACGCCCACCCCAGGACAGCACAGAGAATGTGGGTCACCTCCTGGGTTGGAGGTGGTGTGAACCAGCAAGACGTGGTCTTCACTCACATCTCTGTTGCTCACGCTTGAACCTCGTGATTTTGATTATTCCTGTCACTGGAAATTATTACACCATAAATTAAATCCCCTTTTTGATTTGTTGAAGATACATTATTATGGGTTTAACTACATTTTTCTGTCATATATACAGAATTGGAAATGTTTTCATGTCGACTATCAGTATTTGTACAACAACAAAAAATCCATTAAATAATCTGATAATTTCCCTTTCAGTTTGCCTAATAAAAATGCAGGAAGGGGTTAGATATTTACAGAAAATACTTCAAGTAATTGGGAACAATTGGTGCTTTCACCCTTTCACACTTTCCCTTAGCAGAGCAGGTACTAAAACCCTAAGTAATTACAGCCAAATAGCCTTCCTGCGGTGCCATTCTGCGCACATAAATCACGTGCTGTCAATATTTCATCAGTCACCTGGGCCAAATAGCAGTAATAGATTTACAAAGTCTGTATAAGTGTTAATAAAATATGAACAAGCAAATCTGAAAGGCTTCTCTCTGGAATAGGGTGCATTTTTATAAAAGGCAATATGAATTCCAACCGAGACTGAAGAATTTATTTCTTGCCACACACCGCCACCCCCCCCCCCCCACCTCTGGCAGAGAGGAGAGATTCACATGTTTTCCTCTGACTGGGTAGCATGACCCCCCAGATGCTGCTGGGAAGCGTATTTCTTTATGGTTCAGAACCTGGTAGATTCTTGGTAGATTCACCTGTGTCTAGTCATCAGGGGACAGACAAGACCTGGGGACAGTCACTACCGGACTAGGTGGCCTTAAGCAAGCTTGTAGAGATTTCTTCTAGGAAATGAATTTCCTCATCAAAAACACCAAAACTCTATCCACTATTTTCTCATCAAAAACACCAAAACTCTATCCACTATTCTGGGACGATAGAAGCCTTTCTTTCTTTCGCTGATATTATTGGTCTGTTTATTATTTCTAGAGAATGTCTCTACTCACAAATGAATTACTTATGCCTTTGTCCCAGCTAAAGTGGATATATTCCTGGTCCCCTTTATCATATAAAATGTAAGGCGAAATTTATTTCTAGAGTGCTGCACTCCTTGTGAAATTTTTGTTCATTTCTAATGTTCCTTGTTTTTCAGGTTCACAACAGCTAAATGCACTGCTCAAGACGTTCCGATTGGCACTATTTTTCAGGTTTTAATTTTTAAACTTGGCTGTCATTGATGTGAGGAAAGAATGTTCATGAAACTTTCCCTCTAAAGTTAAAAGTGCATTGAAATAGCCCTGGCTGTGTAGCTCAGTTGGTTAGAGTATTGACCTGATATACCAAGGTTGTGGGTTTGATCCCCAATCCCCAATCAGGGCACATATAAGAAGCAACCAATGAATGCATAAATAAGTGGAATTGCACAAATCAAATCAACATCTCTCTCTCTCTCTCTCTCTCTCTCTCTCTCTCTCTCTCTCTCTCTCTCTCTCTCATCAACAAATAAAAAGTTGTGGGGTTTTTTGTTTGTTTGTTTTTAAGTGCATTGAAATCTAGAGCATATTCCTGAAACATCATCTTGTGTTCTGGCCAAACCTGTTCAGTGAGGTTTCCCTCCTCTCACGAAGATCCAGGCTGGGTGTTGACAGCCTAAAAAAGTGGGAGGGGGAAGGAGATACTGAGGAAGGACAGGCTTCCAGGACAAAAGAGTGCTGTTTTGTTCTCTCTCTCACCACTCCAGCCAAAGGCAGCTTCAGAGTACAGATCACCATCTTTTACACGGGCAGACCTGGAGACTGTACAGCTCAGAACAGCATACCAATTTAACAAATGTTTATTTAGGACTCACCATATTCCAGGCTGAGTTGTTATGTAAAGCACCCCCCGCCCCCAACCACCACCCCCCCGCCTCCCGCCCATGAGAAGATCAAAGTGTGGCAATAAAACTTAAATATCATCAATGAGGGACAATCACGGAATTATTTTAAAAGATGAGCTAAATCATGTGTTGACCGAGGAGTGTACCCAAGATATGTAGTTGAGGGGAAGAGTTTACAGAAGAGTATGTATACTATGGTGCCGGTTTTGTTTGTTTTTAAGGTATAAAGAATGACCAGAGCTGGATTTACTGTGGCACTAACAAAGTGTTAGGAACTCACTTGCGTAGGTCTCTTTCAAGACCCTGAACTTAATTTTGTATTCTCCTTAAAGAGGTTCTCCAAAACAGCATAAGAGTGAGATGCAAAACCTGAATCATTCCCTGCTATTTATAAACGCGACCAAACATTACGACCAGCCTTGGTTATCTTGGGTGGCTGGAATGTGAAGGCTTTATACTTTTCCGTCACCCAGAAGAACTGCCTCCTGCTTCCTTTATGGTCTTCCCTTCCCTCACCCATAAGCTCTCACAACCCTCCCAGTGTTCCTATCTCTGAGTGAGTTAATTCATGGGCTTTGTAAACAGAAATCCATTATTCACATTTAGTAATGAGCCATTCCAAGAAATGCATCATTAGGCTATTACATCGTGTACAGACATCATGAAGTGCACTTACATAAGCGTGGATGGCATAGCCGACTACTGTAATTGTATGTGCTGTACATTTATTCCACTGGTGGGGCGTTAGGTTTGTTTACACCAGCATCACCACAAACACAAACACCGAGCCAGGATGTTATGATGTCACTAGACAGTAGGAATTTCCAGCTTCATTATAATTATGTGGGACCACCCTTGTATACGCGGCCTGTTGTTGACCGAAATGTCGTTAAGCGGCGAATGACTGCAGTGGGTATTATCACTACCCTATGTCCCAGCCAGCACATAGGACACCCACTTTCATCATTCCCCTCCAAGTTCTGCTTTTCCCAGTTTGCCTACTGACCAGTATCATGATCTTCCATTGTACTGCCTTTACCTTAGTCTCTGTCTCTCTCCCACTCTGGTTGTTTAAAACATTTTCATGTATGTGTTTCTAGAACAGAGACTTCCGTTCTTTCTGAGGAAGAAATTTCTTCAGCACAATAATTGTGTTTAAAATCTACCTAAAACTTAAAACAAAAGTAGCTAGTAAATCGACAAAACCAATGGCAGTGTTTCTATTTTAACTAGACTATGGTGCTTTTTTTTCAGTAAGGGGACATCTTTGGTGGCTAGAGCTATTTATTGCTGTCTAAAATTGGCTTTGGGATCAGCTACACTCTCTGAAGCATCTTAACATTTTTTATTTTGTACTATAAATAAAAATGCTACATTCAGCCAGCAGTTCAGTACAATTAGTAGATTTTACACTATTTTATCATCATGTAATCGGTGTATTAATTATCTGTGATTAAGCCTCATTCATATGAATTGAATGTGAAAGGGGCATAATGTAACTATACCTTGTACCAGTCCAAATTGGGTCAGCTGCATATAACTGTTGGCCACTTTCTCTTGCAAACGGGTTTTATAAATAGGCAATTTGGGGGTTGGTGTGGCAAGGAGCCCAAAATTCATTAAGGGCTCAATCTCCTTCTGGCTGTCAACTCTATGATCTCTAATAGCCCCTGTACTCATCATCTAACAAGACAACTGGTGCTCCAGCCATCTCGGCCATGTTTCAGGCCCAGAGGCAGAATTAGCACAGAACACTTTCTTCATAAGGACACTACTGCAGACCTACCACATGATGCTCTCACTCACATCTCTATGGCAAGCACCTAGTCATCTGACCAAGTCATCTGCACATGAAACTAGGGAATGTCCTCTGTTAACTGGACGGCAATGCACCAACCAAAAACTGGGGATCTGTTACTTAAAGAAACTGGGGAGATTAGACTGGGGGAGGAAATTTCTATTCTCTGCCACTGTCTTAACACAAACAATAGCATGACAATTTAAAGACGTAATATTGTTGGAGCACATGAGACTTGGTTGGAAAATTTGTAAGGAGGACATTCTGAGAAAAGGGAAGTGTGCAGAAGGCCACCTGCTCTGTTTACCAGAATTCCGACTTAATAGAGTGCTAAATGCGGTGTCCTAACTATTCCTGGACCTTTCCAAACAAGTCTGTGCACCTGCAGACCCCCGGGTGTTTACTGGAATCCTTATGCGTAATCTTTAGGTGTCCTTGCTTAAAGGACATTGCAGACACATATATCCTCCCAATATTACTTACTCTACTGATTGTATCTAAAAGATAAACTTTATCTCAAACTGTTATTACAATAAAAGCCTAATGAGGCAGGCAATCGAGGCTGTCTGGTTCCTTTAGCCAGGCGATCCCTTAGCCCTCTCTTTCACAGCAAATGTTGTGTTGGAGTAATCCATTCATCCGTTGCTCAGGATCTGCTGGTCAGCCTCAGCATAATATCTCTTTTCATAATACTTTGAATTCTGTTAAAAGGTAAAGCACATAAAAATATGATTCCATCAGTATAGTACACGGTCACAATGTAAATAGGTCCATGGTGTCAGCCATGCATGGATGCACTGCATTTGAACAGAGGTTGCTTGGAGGGACGCAGAATGTTCCGGGAGCATCACCAACCATCTGAATGATTGTCCCTGTTGTGATCTTAAAAGTGCTTAATCAGCTTTGTGAGTCTGACTGCAGAATTCAGGCTGGAACACAGAAAGAAGCAGAGGGTTAGGTCCCTGTCCCAAAAGACATTTCCATTTGGGCTGGGAAATAGGTTAAATAAATCTTTCAATTTTTTGTATATTCTCTCTACAACAGCTCTTGGTATAATGATAGGAGACAATTCACAAGTCAGTGTGAGATTAATATATATATATATATATATATATATATATATATATATATATTTCTCAAATCATTGCTAGACCATAAGTTCTAGCAATGAGGCAGTCACCTGAGCGAAACGAAAGAAAGAAAAGGTTTGGAAAAGAAGGGGTTAGGAAATCCAGACTGTAGTAACAAGTACTCCCTGGGACCAATATTCTCTGATGCCCACACTTGGTTGCAGAATCCATGTCATCCTACCAACTTATCAGAATTGTTTGCCCTTGCCAGGTTTGCTAAGTGTTTAGACTCTAACCATTAGAGTGTCAGCCTGGGCACTGAAGGGTCATGGGTTTGATTCTCAGTCAAGGGCAGGGACCTGGATTGCAGGTTTGCTCCCTAGCCCTGGTCAGGGCACATGCGGGAGGCAACCAATCAAAGTGTCTCTCTCACATCAATGTTTCTCTCTTTCTCTCTCTTTCTCCTCCTCCCTCCCTTCCATTCTCTGTAAGAATCAATGGAAAAAAATATCCTTGGGTGAAGATTAACACACACACATACAAGAATTGCTACCTTAGAATTGCTGGGAGATCTTTTAACTCTAGAGACTGGAGTTGGTTTGGGATGGGTCCCGGGATACTTTAAAGTTTCCAGCTGATTCTGACTTGTAGGCAGGCTGCACAGCACTGGCCCTAGGGCAGTGGGTCTCACGCTGCAGCAGGCATCAGCATTGTCTAAAGAAGGTGTCATTGCTCTGCTGTCTGGTCTCCACTGCCTTGTCCAAGGACATGGCCTGGTTGCTCACTGTGGCTGCTGATTTTATCATCTGTGGTTCTCACCCTTACGGCAGTGCTCTTCAACCTTTACTGGGCATAGGAACCACCTGGAGATCTTGTGAAAATGCAGGTTCTGGGTGGTTGCCAGAGGCCAGGAGGAGAGGGATTGTTTAGCGCAGTGGTTCTCAACCTTGGCTGCACATTAGAATCGCCTGGGAATCTTTTTAAAATCCTGATTTCTGGGCCTCATCCTCCAGAAATTCTGTTTCTTTGTTATGGGGTGGGGCCACAAGATTAGTAACAAAGAAACAGAATTTCTGGAGGATGAGGCCCAGAAATCAGGATTTTAAAAAGATTCCCAGGCGATTCTAATGTGCAGCCAAGGTTGAGAACCACTGGTTTAGAGAGATGGTATAGAGTTTCCCGTTCACAAGATGAAAAGAGTTCTGGAGATTGGTTACACAACAATGTGAATGCACTTAAGCATTACTACACTGTACACTTAACAGCAGCTAAGATGGTAAACTTTGTGTTACGTGTATTTTAGACGATGGTTTAAAAATGCAGAGTCAGTGGGTGTGGGCTGGGGCCCGAGATTCTGCAGTTCTTATAAGCCTCTAAGTGAAGCTGATGCTGGCCCTGGGACCGCACTTGCAGAACAAGAGTGTGGTGCATCAGGATCACCTGCGGGACTTGGTTTACTATGGATTCTCCATCCCCATCTCAGAGATCTTGACTCAACACGTGTGACAGCGGGCTCAGCTGTAGCTGCTCTGAATTCCCCCCACTTTAAGAAAGAATCTTTATGGGTACTTCCAAAGGTGAGACGGATAACTTATAGATGAATGTTTGAATATCTGAAATAAACGTTTCTGTGTGCCTTCCAAGTCTATAAAGTGGTGGCCTTCTCTGGGTTCAGAGCTGAAAGAGGAAGTAGACACCAGAATCTAATCAACCATCACCCCTTAGGCAGGATGTGCATTTGTGATGGTGCTGGAGCTCCTGGAATACCTCATCCCTCAGCAGATCAAACCTCAGGGTTCCACAGCAACTATTCCCCAGGCCTCCTGTCTTATGACCAAACTGCACCCCACCCCATCTCCAGTTCACGGCAAGACCCAATAACCCACTGACCCAAATTTAGTCCTGGAAAGTCTAGGGAGCCCCAAAGCCATGCAAAAATGCGACAGTTGCCATTTATGTGTATTTGGTATGTGACAGGACCTTAGCCCATCATCTCTTTTAATCTTCTCAACAACCTGTGAGGCATTTACTGTTATTACCACAATTTTACAGGTGAGAAAATAGAGGATCACCTGGCTGGCGTGGCTCAGTGGTTGAGCGTTGACCTATGAACCAGGAGGTCATGGTTCAAGTCCCAGTCAGGGCACATGCCCAGGTTGTGGGCTTGATCCCCAGTGTGGGGAATGCAGGAGACAGCTGATCAATGATTTTTTTCCCCTCATTATTGATGTTTCTCTCTCTCCCTCTCCCTTCCTCTCTGAAGAAATCAATTACATATCTATACTAATAAGAGGGTAATATGCTAATTAGACCAGATAGACCAGACATCTTCCAGGTGTCCTTCTGGACAAAGCCACGGTGGCGGAGGCTGAGGCAGAGGCAGTTAGGGGCGATCAGACAGGCAGGGGAGAGCAGTTAGGGGTGATTAGGCAGGCAGGCGGGTGAGTGGTTAGGAGCCAGCAGTCCTGGATTGCGAGAGGGATCCCGGATTGGAGAGGGTGCAGGCCAGGCTGAAGGACCCCCACCCCCACCCCAGTGCACAAATTTCATGCACCAGACCTCTAATATATATATGAAAAGAAAAGAAAGTAGAGGATCTATAACTGACCCAAAATCATAGAGCCAGTAGGTGACAGAGCCGGGATGTGATCCCTAGGCTCTTTATGGATTTTGGCTTTTCATGGGCCAGGAATTGGGGCCAAGAGTGGATTGCAGCTGAGGAGCACTAATGAGCATCAGAGCTGTGACCTGTATGCCAGAAAAGAGTCCTCCATCCAAAGTCCGCTTGTCCAGTACTCACTGTCCCCAGCACCCATCTGTCCTGCTTTTCTCATGAACTGCCACAACTTCTCATAATCTCCGTAAGAGGATTTCTACTTAATGCCACTCCCACCAACTGATAAAGAAGGCCTTTCTAGCAAATAATAAACATATTAAAAGAGTAACATGTTAACCTAAACGGGTTCGTGGCTGGTAGAAAATGTACAAGAAAGTCACAGTGGGAGGCTTAGGGGATGCTGAGGGATTTTCCTCTTAGGAAAGATCTTTGCTAGTAAAACTAAAAGGGGCTGTAGGTCACCTGGTCCCACTTTTCATCTTTAAAGATGAGTTTCCATACAGGGCAGTGAAATACAAACAGGGTTTAATATGAGGCCCCTCATGTCAGGTTTGTTTTTTTTCTTCCATTTAAATCCCCCCACCTTGTTCTAAACAGGAATTGAAGATGAGAGTATTAGAAGGTGGGTCTAAATATGTATTCAGCACTTATTTGACAGATTCTGTGCTAGAAGTGCAAAAATCAAAGTGAGGTGCCCTAAGAAACCTACAGTGCCCTGTGTGTGTATAGTTGTCCTGGCGCCGAGGCAGCTCCGAGGAGGAGGCCGTAGAATTCCTGGGAGACACCTGAGCGGATTCCTGAAGGATGGAAGGTGTACGAGTTTACTAGGCCAGCGAGCAGTTTCCTAGAGTTACGGGAACCTACCAGGCAGAGCCAGGGAAGGGCACTTGGAAGCCCACAGCAGGATCATTTTCCCTGGAGCTCAGGGCCAGTGGGAAGAAGCAGAAACACAGAGCGGGACCAGGAGGCGGCCAGAGAGGTTTCAGGGGCAATGAGAGTGTGGCTACAGGAGGTAGTGGCAGAGGTGTGCAGACTGCATGAGCCAGAGGCCTGGGCCTGCCAGGGCCGAGTGGGAAGGTGGCTGCCGGATGGAGAGGCCGGCCCAGGAGACAGGGACCTGCTCTCACTCAGCTCGCACAACTGAACTATGTAGCTGCTGACCCTCCATGGGGACCTCAGAGTCAACGGTGATGCAGAAAAATACCAAAGGAAGATAGAAATAAACGCTGCCAGAATCTGAACCTGAAAGAAATATTAGTGCTGCCCTAACCGGTTTGGCTCAGTGGATAGAGCGTCGGCCTGCGGACTGAAGGGTCCCAGGTTCCATTCTGGTCAAGGGCATGTACCTTGATTGCAGGCACATCCCCAGTAGGGGGCATGCAGGATGCAGCTGATCGATGTTTCTCTCTCATCGATGTTTCTAACTCTCTATCCCTCTCTCTCCCTTCCTCTCTGTAAAAAATCAATCAAATATATATATATAAAGTAATTGTTTAAAAAAAAAAAGAAATACTAGTGCCTTCACAGACTGATGAATTTCAGAGGGATGGCGGGAGTGGGTGGTGGGTAGGAGAGATTATTTTTTTTGCATTTCAGATGTGCCTTTTATTTTTAACTAGGGGCCCAGTGCACGAATTCGTGCACCTTGAAAGGAACTGTGGGCTGTGAGGCTGCGGTAGGCACAGGGGCGGGTCTCGGCCCATCCTCCCTGCCCCCTCCAGGCCCCTCCCACCTTGGCCCCAGTCCCCTGTCTGCGAGCAGCTCCCGCTCCTGCCACCACCACTCCCATGCACTCAAGGCTCCAGCCCCACTCTCACCTGCTGAAGGCGTGGAGCGATTGGGGCTGGCACCAGCAGCGGGTGCCAGCAGGGCTGGTGCCGTCAGCGGGTGTGAGCGGCAGCTGCTGGCCCTGATCTCCCCTCAGGAGCAGGGGGAGGTGGAGAAGCCCTGAGGGGCGATTGGGGCCAGCAGCTGCCGCTCACACCCACTGACGGCACTGAGAGATTGGGGCCGGTGCAGGGCACCAGCAGTGGATGTGAGCGGCGGTTCCAGCGCTGGCAGAGGGTGCGAGCGGGGCCAGCGTCAGCAGCAGGTGCAAGTGCTGGGCAGGACCACTGCGCATGGCAGCAAACAATTTTCAGTAACCACCAGAGGCTTGCCCTGATGGCAGCGACCAGCACCCTGCCTTGGTCTGGCGCCCCTACTCACCTGCTCCATCATCCCACTGTGGCCGACACCCGCC